ACACTTAAGGAAATGCTCAACATCCTTAGCCATCAAAGAAATGCAAATCAAAAGAACTCTGAGATTCTATCTTACACCTGAAAGAATAGTCAAGATCAAAAACACTGATGACAAACTTATGGTGGAGAAGATGTGGGGTAAAGAGAACACTTCTGCATTGCTGGTGGGGGTGCAAAATGGTACCGCTGCTTTGAATTTCAGTATGGCGATTTCTCAGAAAATTAGGAAACTACCTACCTCAAAATCCAGAAATACCACCTTTGGGTAAACACCCAAAGGACGCTCAATCATACCACAAGAACATGTGCTCAACTATGTTTATAGCAGCATTGTTTGTCATAGCCATAACATGGAAACAACCTAATACCCCTGACCAAAGTATGGATAAGGAAAATGTGATACATTTACACAATGGATACTACAAAGCAAAAAGAAATAATTACATCTTGAAATTTGCAGGCAAATGAATGGATCTAGAAAACATCATATTGAGTGACGTAACCCCTACCCAGAAAGACAAATATCATATGTACTCACTCATAAGTGACTTTTAGACATAAAGCCAAAAAAGCAGCCTATTAGTCATAATTCCAGAGAACCTAGACAACAATGAGGACCCTAAAAGAGACATATATGGATCTAATGCACATGGGAAGTAGATTAAAAAAAAGATCTTCTTAGTAAATTGGGAGCATTGGGGCCATGGTAGAGAGTAGGAAGAAAGAGGAAGGGAGGGGAGCAGAGAAAAATATATAGCTGAATAAAAACAATTTAAAAAAAGATAGCTGTGCTGCTCAACGAAGTCCACAGTATGCATGTGCAAGGAGCTCTTACAATGTTTCACCTGTGCGTGAAGCACTGAGCCCACAAGCATGCCAAAAGAGGGGCTTTTCTTAAAAACAAAAGATATATGTTATATAATATATATAGTGCTAGATTTTAGTAAAATACTTTTATTCCTGTGTACTATGTAATTTGATATTAACCTCTATACCTTTTCCCTTCTTCTGTTTTCCCACTATACATGTTCCTTTTCTTATAGCTACCTTTGCCTGTCATGTGTGTATGTGTCTGTATATGTGTGTGTGTGTGTGTGTGTACAAAGTCTCCACAAATAAAAGGAAAAAAAGCACTATTTGTCTTCCTCAATCTGGCTTTTTTTTGCTTAATATGATGGCCATCATTAGTGCCAATTTTCATGCAAATAGCATAATTTCATTTTTATGATGGAATAAAACTCACATATACAAACACACATATAATATTTTATATGAAATATATTACATTTTCGTTATCCATTCATGTGTTGAAAGTCTACTGAATGGCTATAGTGTGTAGTGGAGACAATATGATTTTATTGTCTTATTTTACTTTTAAGTGTGTGTGTGTGTGTGTGTGTGTGTGTATGTGTGTGTGCACCTGGGTTTGTGCACATGAGTGCAGATGCCTATGAAGACTGGAAGAGGGTGTGGGATTTCCTGAAGCTGGAGTTATAGGAGGCTATAAATTGTCCAGTGTGTGTCCTCTGCTACAGCAACAAATACTCTTAACCCAGCAGCTCTCTCTGCAGCCCCGAAACAAAAAGCTTTAAATCAAATGTTGCCACTGTCCATTGTGAATCAGCAAAGACTTGGGCTGTGATATAGTGGTAATGTATGAATAATAACTCATCATGGGAAGGGTGTTTCCACAGAACAATGGGGAATAAATGAGTGAAAGGAAGAAGTGCCAAGTCTAGAAGGGCTCAATTTAGCAAGGAGGAATGAATGCTCTACTGATGGGAAACAAAAATTCTGTTGAAGATGGATACAAGAAAAGTTAAGGCTCAAAATGAGTGTGTGATGTTTCCTGCAGTGATATCAGGGTCATGAAAATGAACGTATTGGTTAGCTTTGTGCTTCCATGTTAAAATAGCTGGAAGTTGTTTTTCCTCCTGATTCATGATTTCAGACACTTTAGTGCATGGCTGATTGGTTCTGTCTGATTCAGTAAGGCATTACTGCAGAAAGGCAGTATACTGTGGCTGGGTTGTGGTGGAGAAAGCTGTTCAGTTCATGGAAGCTAGTAAACAGAAAGAGACAGGACTGGGCTGGCTACCAACATTCTTCTTTCAACTAGACTTAGCCATTTAATGGTTCCTTGCACCCAAGAAATGCCAGTCTGACAATCAGAGTTTCATCACATGACCCTCTGGAGACCATTTATATAAGGAATAATTCTGAGTAAGTGACAACAAGGAGTGATTGGACTAGCAAAATAATACACGAGAAAGAACTAACCAAAGAGGTACTAAAGAGAGGACGGTATCACAGGGCTTACTGGTAGGGTAGTTGAAATTGTAAATACTTTGTGAAGACTCTGAAAAGAAGAGTTGATTTAACAGGTGGTGGCTTCAGGCACTTGGAGACTGTAAGAAAGGGCATTAGTGACTAAATTGGTGACTTGGAAGTAGAGATGAACTGGAAAAGACATCCTATCTATAGTAGAGATGATGATGCCTGGTTCAGAATACAAATTCCTGATATCAAATGGGTTTGACATAATTAAAGAATTAAATATTCAAGGTAAGTTAATTCCAAATTAAGTCTTCAGTGTTTATAAGTCTCCACACAACTCCCTAGCAGAATTGAGCTCTGAAGCTTGCTAGTCAGACTTTCCACTATCTTTCTGTCTTGTCTTCAGAATTCTTTGACTCTGAGTTATAGTGATATTTTATTTATGTTTTAATAAATTTTCTCGGTTATAGAGATATTTTATTTATGTTTTAATAAATAAAGCTTGCCTAAAGATCAGAAGGGCAAAACTAAGCCACTAGACACTACAGGTCAGGCAGCTGTGGCACACATCTTACACTCAGGCCTTGGGAGACAGAGGCAGATGGACATCTGTGAGTTCAAGCCCACTCTGGGCTACTCAAGATCAATGCAGAGACAAATCCAAATAGTGGTAGTACACACTTTTAATACTAGTACTAGGGAGTCATGCCTTTAATCCCAGACTAGAGGGATTATAAAATGGGAGGGGAGATAGACTAGGTCTGTTTAGCTGGTTTAGTTTGCAGTCACCCAGCCTTGGTAGAGGAAAGACTTCTCTGGTAGCTTTTCTGGCTTTTGGGTTGAACTCCAATATCTGACTCTTAGTTTTTATTATTTGTGCTACACTGAGTGTTTTAAATTAGCATTTTCCTTATTTATTTTTTACTTATTTACTTAGGGTTTTTGTAGTTAATGAAACATGTGCTCTCACCCCTCTGCTTTATAGATAAAGAAAAGGTTTCTACATTAGACTTAGATGAAGAGATAGCTTTTTGGAAGAAGATGATGGTCTGGTCTTCTAGGACAGGTGGAATGCAACACGTTCCAACTCTGATTAATTTTGTGGCATTTAGGGACCTGCTCCACCTCCACTCATGCAACAGCTTTGGCCTTTGATACTGCCTATGCCCCAATTGCCTTTCTAAAGTGCATGGGTTGACTTCCATAACATGAGGTAGAGTCCCCTTTTGCCCTCAACATGAAGTAAAACCTTTTTTCGCACACTGATGAAAATTTGTATAAATATTAAATCTTCATGTCTTCTACCAACTTTCCTCTAGCTAGCCTGACTCCTTGAGATATTGACACACATTTTCTGTGTGAATCTTTTGGACCAATTATATGGTCCACTGTTGATAAACTACTAGTCTTGTAAATTTATCAGATAACTATTATAACTATTAAAACAAAATATTATTGTGTTTTCTTAGGAAAATATAAATAATTGACACTCTATGGAAAAGTTTCCAGGTTCAAAGTATCTTTTAGATTCTTTCAACATGTACCAATGTGATGATGTGCTTCTAACTATGTATGTATGTATGTATGTATGTATGTATGTATGTATGTATGTATCTATCTATCTATCTATCTATCTATCTATCTATCTATCTGTAAGTCTTGGAAATATAAATATGAAGAACAAACCAGAATCGGGATATACTTATCCTTACATTATGGTGTTTCCATGAAAAAACTTGATTTTCAGTTTTTCAAAATAAATTATATTATTTCAAAGTACATATAGATAGGTAAAAATTATGGGATTGGCCGAGAGGTGGTGGCACATGCTTTTAATCCCAACACTCGGGAGACAGAGGCAACTGGATCTCTGTGAGTTTAAGGCAAGCTTGGTCTACAAATTGAGTTCCAGGACAGTTAGGGTTTCACAGAGAAACCCTGTTTTGAAAAACAAAACAACAAAAATTTAAGGGCTGAAATTAAAATGTGTATGCTATGTAGCCTAAGATAACCTGGATCTGATCCTCCTAATCTCACTTCCCAAGTGCTCGTAGTGCAGGGGTGTGGAACTATCCCATTTGTAAAATTCTGTACCCATTACAGTTCAAGAGAAAAGGAAAGTCATTGTGCTTAGTGATAAGAAACAATGCTTTGTATGTAGAAGCTGGCTACGGAATACATGGGCAGATGTCTACAATTCTTACATCACAGTGAAGATTAACAAGTAGATAGAGCCAGTGACTGTGGCTATTAATGGTTTTCTGCCTTGTTGGTAGCTTACCTTTAAAGCACGATTTTATTTTTAGTTTTGAGGAATTTTCTAGTGTCCTAACCTGGTATACTGTACTCGAAACCTAAACAACATTTTATGCCATGATTTCATGCTCACATTGCAATTATGATGATTATATCTGTAGATCTCTCAAAAGCGTTGTAATTCACTGCATCCCCCCTCCCCCCCAAAATGTTTCCTTTCCAGGGATGCTTTGTCGGAGAATATTTAAGCTAAAACTAGGAGGAAGCATTCCACCTACCTGAGTGGAGGCACTGACAGCAGGACCACTCAGGTCACATTCTGTCGTTAATTTTCTCTAAACTCTCAGGGTAAGGAAAACCAAAGAAGCATATTTTTGTCACTCTTAGTTATTTTGAAAGATGGCCACAAAAAAGAAGAGCTCATGTCATCTCTTTAGTTTGTAAAACATGCTATTTGTCTGCACCTAGGTTTGCAGAAGAAGTAACTGCCAAGTGGCTTTGTCTCTTTGAAGGAAGTGGGATCCCATATGGTCCAATCAACAGTATGAAGGATGTGTTCTCCGAAGCCCAGGTTTGCACTTTTGAATTTTCTGGTTATTTTTTTTTTAAAAAAATCCTTATTGACATATATAAAGGAACAATAACCATTGATCATAAGTCTAAATCTGATATGACATTTTACTATTTGATTAAAATTGCTTGTGGCTCTAAAATAAAAAAAATCACAATTTAGAATGAACTAGCTGCTGACACTCATACTTTCAAATCTGCTAGATCCAGCATACTTAAGCTACCTAAAATTTCCAAAGCCCCAGGCATTTATTTTTTTCGGAAGAATGTAAATATAGCCCGGGGTCAGGACACAGAAATCCCCATTTATAGAAATAAATATGGTAAGTTTCACAGTTACTATACACTCTGATCGTATTGCTGTCTCAAAATGTGCAAAACAAGTACTGCTTAGTTGTGTAGAGTTCAAGCTTTTTATGTGTTTGGTAACTTGTGTGATGTTCTAGGATCAAGATTATGTGGATAGGATGTGTTCTGAGCAGGAGAAGGGACACCTCCTTCTATCACAGTCTTCAGGTTTCCCTGCTGTCACACTATTTTGATTTTATTACTTCAATTACCATAGCAAATAGAAGCAACTTGCTATATCTCAGATTCCTGTAATAACCTACAAAAGCAAGGGAACTCAATATTTATTCTATGAATATTTTACTATGACTCAGAAATCTTGACAGTTTCTAACATTTGCAAAATTATGCAGTATTTCTTTCTTGAGTTCTTCATCCATATATACTAGAAGTTTTTAATTTTAAATGAATTATTTGAAAAAACACACTTTTTGAAAGGAGAAAAACTGTTGGAAAGTGAATGTCTTTAACATGAGTGCTTTTATTTTACATAGATGTTCACTTCAAGGAAATGTGAATGCATTTAGTTCAGTAGTTACCAGACTTACTGTAGAAAAGTAGAGAAGTTCAGAAATTCTGCTTTGTTTTGTTTTCCTCTCAAGAATGTGAAATTTTATTATCACAATAAAATAATGGGAAAGTATTAGGCGGGGAGGTTAGGGGGCCTGTCCGGTGTGTGTTGTGTGAGAAGAAGAAACCCCGAATATCAGGACCTTATGTCTGCTGACTCCTGGGAAGAGGTGGTCACGTGCTCATATGCCTGTTTACCAGAAAGCTGGTTGGCTCACTTTATGTCTTTAACTATTGCTCTAAGCTATGGCTATGAGATGTGTAGAATTTCCAGCTTTTCTCAATTTAGGGTACATTTCCCCAGAGAGATCTCTTAAAAATTATTCATCAGCATTTTTGCTATTCCATATGTGTGTGTGTGTGTTTTTTAAATTAGGAATAAAGATACCAAAAAGCAAAAGTGAATTTCTGTAATGTTAATATTGCAAGATTATCTAATTTTAGTTTTTTTTTTTTTTTAAATTTTACTTACTACCATTCAGTTACTCAAGTGGTGGGGTAATTCAGAGAGAATATTGGCTCATTGTGGTAATATTTTGTTTGTGCTTTAACAAGTAAAGTTTGCCTGAAGATCAGAGTACAGAGCTAGCTACACTAGTTAGCCATAGAGTCCAGGCAGTAGTGGCACACACCTTTAATACTAGCATTCTGGAGACAGAGGCAGACAGATCTCTGCAGGTGAAGTGCAATACCACATTGGATTAAGTGAGACTGAACCAGTCTGAAAGAGAAACAGAGCCAAGCCATGGCTCACGCCTTTTTTAGCAGCACTAGGGAGGTGGAAACAGAAAGTGATATGGTAGGGTGGAGATAGGAATACAAGGCGAGAGATCTGAGCTCAGGATTCAGTCTGAGGTTTCATAGAGGCAGTTTGAGAATTCTTAGAGACGGGATACTTCATTTGGTCTGAGGATTTGATAGATGTAAGAACTAGTAACTGGCTGCTCTGTTTTCTGGTCTTTCAGCATTTACCCCTATATCTGACTCAGGGTCCTTTATTATAAAAAACAATTAGAAATGTATATTTTATAACTAATTATCCCTTAATTACAAGTGAAATTTAATAGTCCAGATTAATTACAAGTGAAATTTAGTTAATTTAATAGTTTTCATTGCAAATAATTTTTTTTGGATGGTAAAAATTTCTTGGGGTTAGTCTATGGCATATTGTTTTAATAATTAGGCCATCTGTCAGTTTCAGAAGAATGATATTATTTGTTAGCTACCATCTTCTCATAGCACCTTCAAAGACTATAAAATACCCTTTTACCTGTTGAAATAAGAGCAGCGAGGCTGCATCCCAGGCACCCGGCCGCCCGCATGGCTAGGTAGTGCCCAGAAATAATTACACGGAAACTGTATTCTTTCAAACACTGCCTGGCCTGGCTAGTTCCAGCTTCTTATTGGCTAGCTCTTACATATTGTTCTAACCCATTTCTAATATTCTGTATAGCCCACGAGCTGGCTTACCAGGGAGGATCTTAACCTGTGTCTGTCTGGAGCGGGAGAATCATGGCGACTCCCTGACTAAGCTTCTTTCTCCCAGAATTCTCTTCTGTTTTCTCCACCCACCTAAGGGTGGGCCTATCAAGGGGCCTAGGCAGTTTCTTTATTAATAACAAATCACTCCCACATCATTTACCCACCAAAAATAAATTCTTATTATCATAGTTTTAGCATCAGAAATATTTAGTTTTATTCTCATTGCTATTGATAATTGAACCCTAGAAGCAAAAGAGAGTTGTCTTCTTCATTCACAGTCAGATATTGCTTTGGAATATAAGTACTAAAATATATGTGTGCAGCTTCTCTGGGCTTTGTAAGCACTAGAGCAATGTACTCTTAACATTATAGAAATAATAAAAGATGACCGTAAAATTTTCAGGTGGTCTTAGTTGTTCCTTCCAAGAAATGGATTGCCTCCTTCCCCTTCCATGTGAAGTGCTTATCTCCCTAAAATTTTGAATTTTGAAAGAATTGTACAATGTAGGGAAAATCATAGTTTAAAAATGTATAAGATGCTTTAGGAAAACACATTAATGTGACATGTAAAATTGTTCATTCTGCCAACTTTTTGGCTTATTCCTGTAACCTTATCACTCAGGAAGTTGAAGCAGACAAAATGTCTTGGGTTCAATTCCTCCCTGGGCTACATAGCAAGTTCCAGGCCAACTGGACTAAGAGCAAGACCCTATCTCAAAAACAAAACAAATAAAAAATATAAATGGTCATTTAAAAGAGTATTTTATTTATTCAGTTGCCTTATTGTGTTTACTAGGTACCAAGTGTTAGGAATTTAGTACAAATTTAGTATTCTATGCATTTCTGAAAAATCAATTAAAAAGTGACTGAACTAGCAGGTATTCAATAATATTTGTAGATTGATGAACCACAAAATGAAAATTTAGTTAAGTATGAAGAATACAGGTTTTCTAAAATTTCAAGTGGTTCCTCTGTGCCTCGGAAACGGGATTGACCAAATTTTTCTTTAGGATTAGTTGAATTGTTTTTGAAGGCCTCAGGAGACTGAGTGCAAAATATTTTTAGGATTGGTTACTAATTTTATGAGCATTCTAAACTATAGTTTCTTTAAATATTAAACATTAAAATGAAATTTTATCTCTCTCTTGACAGCATCAGGCAGAATTTTAGCACAGAGTAGGGGTACAAGGAAGGCTGCATGCTAGCTCAATGTAATGGCAGCTTTCATTACAATGGTGCTTGTAGTGATTTGAATGAGAATGTGTGCCCACCAGACTCATATGTTTGCAAGCTTAGGCTCCAGATGGTAGAACTGTTTGGGAAGGATTGGGGTGTGGCCTTTTGGAGTTAGTGTGTCACCTTAAGAAGGCTCTGAGCTTTCAAAAGACTCGTTCTTTTGAATTCTTAGCTAGGTCTCTCTGCCTCATGCTGACAGATCTAGATGTAAGCTCTAAGCCTGCAGCTCCAGATCCGTGCCTATTTGCCTTCTGTCAGGTTTCCCACCCTCTGCAACAGTAAGCCCCGAGTCGGTTCTTTATTCTTTTTTTTTTTTTTTAATTAATTTATTTATTTATTAAACATTTCTGTCTCTTCCCCACCGCCGCCTCCCCTTT